TTTTTACATGATCACCATATATTTAATACATGCAAATTAAATTTAATCAACCTTTTTACATTTACTTTCAAATAAACATGCAAGATGAAATTAAGTATAATCATAACATAAATAATAATTTAGGAGTATATAAAAACATATATACGAGGAGGCAAAGCCTACCATTAAATTAAGGAGGAGGAGTAACCTACCACTCTATATATATGATATATATGATCTTGAATAAAATCAACATATATTCAAATTGAATTTAACACAAATTTAAATGTTACTTCCAATACGTATGAACGGAATCCGAAAGACGATGATGTATGAACAGAATGGACCCGAGAGACGATCGTGCTAATAACGTGTTGTGAAATACTATACAAACTTATACTACTAATCTATATGTGATGGAGGTATACATTTGTTTGCTTATATACTCTTGATACAATATATATAAAAAGTGTCTATGATAACGGAGAAGAAAAGTTTATAAAAGAGATGACCCTTGGTTTTATTGATCTCTCTTTCTTGTGTATTTCCATTACTTCCTCCTTCTCATATATATAGTAGAAGGAGTTTACATGCATGAAGACACTTAACCAAAACATATGACATTTGGATATTGTTAAAACATGCATAAGGACACTTAATCAAGATCTTGATGAATAATCACTTATTTCATAATAAATTTTAATGTTTTTGGAGAGTATTTTCATAATTTTACGGAAAAAAAAACGAAAACTTCGGCGAGATGAAAATAAAAACGGCAAGAAGTTTATAAAAATGGTAGAAATCTGATATTATGTACTAAATAAGGATCGTATTTGACAATAACAAAACTAAAAGTAATTTATGCTACCAAAAGTGTGGTGGTCTAGTAGTAACATAAGAGGGTTGGTTTTTTTGTGCCCCGGGTTCAAACTCTTTTTGGTACGGAGAGTTATTTTTTAAATCAAAATATCCATATATTGCATCCGATTATCGAAGAAATTATGAGTCAAAAGTTTGGAAATTCTACGGTTTATAAAAAAAAAAATTATGCTACTAATTTGACTGTCTTTTTATAAACACGCAATGTTTTTTTTCATCTGAAATCTTACGTTTAGTGAATTTTGGAAATTAATTAATCCATAAACCAACAATCCTCACTAATTGTCACAATTATCTATTTGATTAAAAATTGAATATTCATACTGAGACCCAATAAGAATTATGAACTGAACAATTAGGATACCTCTACTAAACGACAGTATAATCACTAATATCGGAATTTTCTTTTTCCCCTTTTCTTTATTTGTTTCCTTAAACCCTTTGTCCCTTTGACAAAAACTAGGGGTTCTTTTGCGTGATTAAGTTTCAATTGCTCCATTGATATTAGAGTGTCTTCGTTCAAAGAAAAACTAAATTAACCTCGTTATAGTTTGCAACTTGGAAACTGATTATGGTAGTATGGTGTTTCAACAAGTATAAAATGTGATCCAAGATTTTTGGATTTAAGGGCAAAACAAGCTTAATTAAGTGATGGGAATTGATCTCGAAAGACCGCCAAGAGGTTGAAATAACATGACTAGATCAAATGATAATCTTAGAGGTCAAGGAAGGGATATAATTTGAATTCTTCAATGCTAAATCTGGTGGGTTCAATAGCATTAAAAACTCCTTGTTCAGAATAGATAATTACAGAAAATTATAATAAAATGAAAACAATCATTTTGAATACGAGTATACGGCACACTTCGGCCTAAATATTTATTTTACGTTTAGTGTATAAATTTTTTTTTTAGTAATTATAAATGATCTAAGGAAATCATAATATTTTTAATTACTGTCCAGAAACAAAGATGAAAGTTGAAGGAAATTTCTATAAAGTAAATAAATTAAACAAGTTTGAATTCATTTGTATATCTTGTCAATCAACAAGTTTGTATTCAAATGAAGAATCTTGGAAGTTTTCCTGGGGAAAATAAGATATTTAGTAGTCACATGTCAACGACTTGATCATAGTTCCTCGAACATTGGTAAGAACTAAGACTTGAGGTTTCTGGTCAACATGTTTGACCAACTCACTCAACACATGAATCATGACCATGTGATGAGGTACCATATAGATATAGTCATGAAATCAAGAGAGTATTCATGTTTCAGGTATCTGCAAAAATATAAATGAAATATCGTCACTAATGGATATATCCTTTTATCCGTTCAAACATGGATGGAAATTTTGGTATTTTGGATTTGTATTTTAGGTGTTAAAGTAATTTTAACCGAATATTTAAATGTTTTTGAATATTTAGAATTGGTAATTTGGGTATTTAAATACTTAAGTTTATGTATTTTACATATATTTTCGTATAGTAAATTCATGTATTCTTTTTGAAACTTTATGGTATGAAGTTAAAAACAAAAACATTGAAACTTTAATATTGTTATCGAACCCAATATATATTATGAATTTATAACCAAAGTATACCTAATGGTAATAAATACATTGCGAACCTTTACGTTCTGATCCGAAGACAATGATAGTGACTATTACTAATCTTAACAACTGGTCCATCCTTCGAGTTTAATATCTTTCAGTGTATAAAATTATATGTTTGAAACTTTGAATAGAACCAGTGGGAAGTTTCACTAAATTAATCCACCGTCTAATTGACGGACAAGTGACAGCTCGTTAACGGTAATTAAATATATTTTAGGGTTAAGTGACTTAATTTTGCGTAATTTTCTTGTAATAAAATAGCCGCGTTGGTATGATAATTGATACATACACTAACAGTAACATTGCGTTAATGACAAATTTAGTTTATAGTATCAAACTTGTAATGACGTTAGCAGCTTCTCGTCATTGCTCACACCCTGCATATAGAGACGACAATCGTTTGTAACAATTCTTTTATATTTCCTTGTTTGTTAAGCAAAAAATTGAGTTCAACCATTCGAATCAAGAACGGAAATGGTGA